GGGGAGAATTCTTGGAATTCCTTTAATTCACTTTACCATAGTTAAACATAAATCACCATACCATAGTTTTTCTGTGTAAAATCCTACTCTTCTGCAAACAAAATCCCAAAATCTCCACAAACACCACTATGCAATCCAAGAATCAAATTACCACAATGCAGTGGAAGAAAATCACCAGACAAAATCACTGGGAAAAGGCATATCTCTCAAAGTGCCTACTTTTCTCAACACAACACAGCATACCATAATTCAGCATTTACTCACATCAGCTTTCCCTGGACACAATCAAAATAACAGCACACAGTCCAGAGATCAGGTCCAAACATCCAGGGCAAAGAAACTCTCTTGAGCTCGTACTCACAGTTAAAATGTACCAAATCTACACAAATCACTACATTTAGACACAATAAATACGGTAACTGATGTTTCTCCACTCGTTCTGCTTCTCTGCAGGGCACTCCCTGCCCCCAGAGCCTGCTGCAGCCAGCGCCTCTGGCCTCACCTGGCCGCTTCAAACACGGGTAGTACTCACGCCCCCGCGCCATGGGTGAACTCACTTGTTCGCTCTCCCTTTCATACACCACACACTCGCACGATTACAGACACAATAAAATTAACCACACAATATATTAACCATACAGTGATAGAGTGTCCGGACACCACACACACACACACACAGGTTCACTCGACCCACCCCTAGGGTCGCTAGCACTCTGCCCTATCAGACAATGAACCTCCATCTCTAATCCAGCTACTCCATCAGCTACATCCACAGGCCGAGCACCCAGACGTCTCTGAGTGATTTGCTCCCTCTCTCTCTTTTCCCCCAGGGGCCCCTCAGTACATACTGTATCCTCTGCTGGCCAGAGGATGTTTCCTCCTCGCAGGAGGAAAGTCAAGATGAGCAGAGCCCCACCAGGAAAAGAATCCTAGGGCACACCTTGGAGGTCTGTCAATCCCCCCTGCCCCTGCGGGGACAGAGAACTCCTGCCTGGCTCGCCATAATGTTTTGCGGAGAAAAGAAGAAAACCCCACAATTTGTGAAAGTTGTAAAGCTGGTATGTTTTATTGCAGCGCGGGATGCATGCGGAGATTGCTCTCCTTAAAAAGGCATGCATACCTCTGAGAACTTCAGGTCTCTTTTTATCTCCCTCTCAAATACATATGCATACAGTTTTATAAATAGGTCCATACATATTCATTTTGATGGATTTCGCATGACATTTGCCGCTATTTCTTTTTTATCAGAAAGAATTTTTAGGTCAGGTTGACCTGCTCCCATGACAATTTCTGTCTCTCTTGATCATCTTCTGTCTCCCCCCCCCACCATTATCTCTGTCCTTCATTGAAGTAACTTCACAGAGCTTAGGCCTTGCAGTCAGGCTAAAAAACTATGGTTTCTAACCACAGACTCAATTCAAAAATGCACATTTCACCTAAATCAAAATGGATTTCTATCCAGGAAAATTTCCACTTTGCCTCAGTGAAGCTTGATCTAAGTGATTAAAATTAACAACTTGACTACAATTAGTATAAAATTTGATTTAATATAAAGTGATGTAACTCAACATGAAATCCTGCATTCCAGGGTCTCACTAAGACCTGACACCATCCTGAATCCTCCTTTCTCAATAAGTTTTAAACTGGCAACCAGCATTTGTTTCTCAGAGTCTGCAAAGGGCTTTTAGCTGCTGCAATAGATCTTCTGATAAAGGAAACATGGGTGAAGCTGCATTACAAGACTTCAAATGTCTAGTGGCAAAGCAGAGATACAGTAGGAGCTCTGGTCCAAGGATATTCCAAGTTAAACTCAGAGGAAAGAAAAATCCAAACTTTCAGCCTCAGCTAACCAGAACCTGCAGGCTTTTCCTGGCATTTCCCAGAAAAAAATACAGGACCTCTTACGTTATGGGTGCTTAGTTGGAGGCAGACACCCAACACGGACTCACCGAGCAGTCCTCAACAAGCCACGTGTTTTATTGTTCAGAGTTTCTTCTATAGGCAGCTCTAAACTACCAGGTCTCAGCTGCTGCTTGGTCTGAGTCTTAACACAGCCCAGCACTCTGACCAGTAATGTCTCTGCATTTATGGTTGAGAGGGATTAGTCGGGGTGCTCTGTTTGAGTTCAAATCTATCCTATCACTCTTCCCCTAGGGAGTTTTTTATCAAACCAGAAGAGCCAATAAGGTTTCATATTCTAGCCAGACTTATTTGTCCAGCTACAGATTAGCTGTATTGCAAAAAAGACCTACTCTTTGGGATAATCACTCCTAATTTTCCAACAATTATGGGAGTGTCAAAAACACAGAACCAGACAGATCTTAGGCATAGAAGTAGAAGCAAGAAATCAATGAACACCCACATTTTGAGTATCAATAGTAAGAATTTATTTCAGGTATTCTGTTTAGCTATTTAAAGTACACTGTACAGCAGTGGCAAATTAACTTAAAGCATTCTGTGTTGTCCAATATACCCCCTATTTAGTGAACTATTGTCTTTGCTGGTTGGATCAAAACTTGTTTTCCAGTGTTTTCATTATTTTCCCAATGTCAGCAGCACAATGGAATAGTTTCTACAGCTTTACACTCAGTAGAAAATTTTGATCACTTTTGGTAACTCTTCCTCAGTTATTAGCGGTTTCCTCTGGCTGCCAGGCTGCAGGAATTTCTTTATTGTGGGGATATTGCTTATTCTTGCTTTGAAACTCTACAAAACAAAATCAAAACAGCACTGTGCTTAAGAATCATTTCAGCTGTCAGACATTTCAATGTTATCTGTGCCCTGAAAGACACATTACAGCTGGGTGCTGCAGAAGAAACTTTATGCTTCCCCTCTTATGCTTTTGGGGTTATAATGACAGAAGGTACCACAAATACAAAACTGAGTAGCTGAGGCCAGCTACAGTACGTGGGACATTTTACGATTTTTCAAGTCACTTTTGACACTCTCACTCCCACATATTTCCCAGCCACTTTAAATCAGTAGTCCTTTCCTTTCATTCTATATTCAAATTGCCCATTCTTTTACCTGCAAGAGAGGAAATTTGGCAAGTATATCAGGTTTGCACTCCTCTGCCATTAAAATGATTTCAAGTAATTGAACATCTGCCCTGCTCAGCTGGTTGCCAACCAGAAAGTCGTTTCCATGGTCTTTCAAAACCTAAAAACAGAGAACAGAAGGAGATCATGTCTCTTCTCTGTTAATAAAATATAAAATAACATATAAATATATAAATTTAAGTTTTTCTGTTCTTCTCTCATAAAAAACATATCTTCAAAGCAGGGTCACACATTGCACAGAGTTGTCAGTGAAAGAAGGAAATGCAGTTCAAACACCTGCAGTACAAACAATGATCTGAAGGCACTGCCATCCCAGGCATCATCTATCAGCTCTTTCACTTCTACATTCCTGTCTGGCAGCTCACTTGGGCTCATCTTGCCTTGCCTGCTGTAGCTGCACTGAAGGCTGAGCTGTATGAGATACAGGAGGAACTGCAATGCTTTTACACAGTATATGTATGGTACAGGGCCGTTCGCACTTCAGGAGGAGACTTGCTATCAAAGCTGGAGCTGTAGAGTCTCTTGTCTGAAACAACACACACATTGAAACATGGACATTTGGGGAGCTCTGTGTGTGCTGGGTTTTTGCAGCTGTACATCTCTCCCAGATTGGAAGTGCCTTCTGTCCCCTCTGTAGTTTCCTGTCTCCACCTTAATCCCAGCACCACTAAAAACCAGAGCATTGATTTTCCAAGTGTAGCTTCTCTTCTGCTTTCCTCCATTAAACCAGTGTGCTTCCAGGATGGAGGTTGAAGGTAACAGCATCAATTGAGCTACAAGCTCTTTGTCACAAACCTTCTCAAAGACTGGGAAGTATCTGTTTTCAGCCTTGTCCATCATATTTGCAAAATTTTCGTCCCTTTTGCCTGGTGGTAGGTAGCCATATTTCATGAGTAACTCATTCAGATCGAACATTCCTTCCACGTACATATCGATTCTGAAAGGAAGAGATCCACTTGGTCAGGTCACACAGTAGTTCTGAACTCCTGGCACAATAACTCCTGGCAAAACCTCACCAAGATGCTGGGAAATCCCTGCCCTTTCTATCCCACACACACACACATACCCTGGCAAAGTTCCCCCTGGAATGCAGTTGCACTGGGGCCAGGCAGGGGGGAACTTGGGCCAAAGGCAAATGCAAAATTCCTAGGGAAACCTAAAGACTGTAGGACTCCCACTTCTTACTGGGACTGATTCCTGTCTGGAATATGGGTTTGTGAACCTGACTACAGAATTCTCATGTGTGCCATCCAGACTTGTGTTAAAAATCCAATAAGACAGCCTAAGTTTTACAGCAGGTCTATACCATTTCTAGCAAATATTGTGACACATGTGTTTACCAGGACTTATCATACTGAAGCATTCAGAAATACCTCAGGTGAAAACATGAGCCCCAGGAGTCGTCTCCTTTAATAACCTGTAATTAAACCTCTACTCATTCATGGTTATTAGAGAGAGAAGGGTTTTTCTTCCCTTAAAAGACATTGCCCTGAGTGTGAGGAGGGTAAAATGATGCTGCTGACAACTGCAGGAGAAAATGAAATGCAGCCTCAGGGGGACAGTCTGCCCCCCCGACTGCTTTCTTCTGATAAGTGCATGGACCTCTGACTGATGATTCCTGGGCTCGCTTGTCCTATGGAATCCAGCTGGCTCTCTCTGCTGCAGACATCAGCTGCAGTCACAGTGGTCTTGTGCACTGCTGCCCTCTCCCACTGAATCGAGCTGGGAGCTGGATACCCTTGTGTCTCCCTGAGCTACAGGGTGAGCTGGGGTCTAACAAGCAAAGGTGGTACTGTTACAGTACAGGGCTCTCTCCTTCATGTCCTTCCCGTAGAGGTTGTACTTGGTTGATATGTAGTTNAGCCCAGCACTCTGACCAGTAATGTCTCTGCATTTATGGTTGAGAGGGATTAGTCGGGGTGCTCTGTTTGAGTTCAAATCTATCCTATCACTCTTCCCCTAGGGAGTTTTTTATCAAACCAGAAGAGCCAATAAGGTTTCATATTCTAGCCAGACTTATTTGTCCAGCTACAGATTAGCTGTATTGCAAAAAAGACCTACTCTTTGGGATAATCACTCCTAATTTTCCAACAATTCTTGGGAGTGTCAGAAAAACACAACCAGACAGATCTTAGGCATAGAAGTAGCTGCAAGAAATCAATGAAGAGCCAGGCTTTGAGTATCGATAGTAACAATTTATTTCAGGTAATTTCTTTACTCATTTAAGGCACCCAGTGTTGTCCAATATATCCCATATTTAGCAAACTGTTTCCATGGCTGGTACACTGATGTAGCTTTACATTGAAGTGTCTGCAGTAGGCTAAAATCAGTCCTGTAGGTAAGGAAAGAGAGATTAAACTTCTTCTTTTTTTTTTTTTCACTAATTCCATTAATTTCATTTTGCCAGTATCAGCAAATACAATGAAATACCCATACAGCTTGTATAGGTTTAGACAGCTGCTCAAGAGCGGAATATTTTCATTGCTCTAGCGACATCTTCCTCTGTTGTTCGTGGTTTCCTCTGGCTGCCAGGCTGCAGGAATTTCTTTATTGTGGGGATATTGCTTATTCTTGCTTTGAAACTCTACAAAACAAAATTAAAACAGCAACGTGCTTAAGAATCATTGCAACTGTCAGACATTTCAATGTTATCCATGCTCTGAAAGTCACATCAAAAATTGATGCTGCAGAAGAAACTATGTGCTTCCCCTCTTATGCTTTTGGGGTTGTAGTGACAAAATGTGGCAATAATATTGAGTAGGTGAGGCCAGCTAAATTGCCAGAGTATTTGATTATAATATAATAATTCTACTATTATTCTACTATATAATAATTTTATAATAATTATAATAAATTTTATTCTAATATATAATAATTCTACTATTATATAATTGTTAGGGTATTGATTATTTTGCATGTCACCTCTGACCCTATCACTCCCACATATTTTTCAGCCACGTTAAATCAGTGCTCTTTAAAATTCATTGTACATTAAAATTGCCCATTCATTTACCTGCAAGAGAGGAAATTTGGCAAGTATATCAGGTTTGTACTCCTCTGCCATCAAAATGACTTCAAGCAATTGAACATCTGCCCTGCTCAGCTGGTTGCCAACCAGAAAGTCTTTTCCATGGTCTTTCAAAACCTAAAAACAGAGAAACAGAAGCAGATCATGTCTCTTCTCTCTCTTTTATCAGTTGTTTTCTCATATATAAGGTGATATCTTCAAAGCAGGGTCACACATTGCACAGAGTTGTCAGTGAAAGAAGGAAATGCAGTTCAAACACCTGCAGTACAAACAATGATCTGAAGGCNTACCTGTTACCTGGAAATCCAGGCAATATCCCTGGGGAAAAAGAGGAGGAATCCTTGATGGCGGGAGATTTTAAACTGGGCAAAGGAGGATGGAGGTAAAGAACCAGAGGGAATGGGATACAAGTGGGGATGGGGAGAGGAGAGGAGGAGACCAGGGAGAAACCACTGCTACAGGGGCCTAGGGGGCAAAGGGGAGAAGGAGACAGACCATGTGATCAGTGCAATTTACCAGACACCCAGTGCAAAACAACAACTAAATGAACTATTTAGTGCAACACAACAAAGGAGAGTCAACCATCTGAACTTCAAGAAAGGCTCTTGGACTGTGTGGGTTGTCCAGAGAAGCTGTACATTCTCCATCCCTGGAGATACTCAAACCCAAACTGGACATGGTCCTGGATAACTGGCTGGAGGGGGCCTTGCTTGAACGGGGGAGGTGGAGTAGATAATCTTGAGTGGTCCCTTCTGACCTCAGCCCTCCTGGGATTCAGTGGAGGTTGAAGCAACTGGGTGGATGATATCACCTAACACTGCAGTGTGCAACTCCGAGAGCTCATGTACAATCCAGTCTATGCCATTGTCTTTTTAAGGCACTAAGACTTCAGAATTCTTAGGTGATCTCAGACAAGCAATTCTAATTTTAATTTTTATTCTGATTATTTTTATGATTATTATTGCTGCTTGTATTATCTTAGAGCGAAGGAAACTTACCCTTCTGTAACTTTGTCAGATCCTCCTTTTTTTCCAGGTAAGATTCTTCAAACTGCAGGAAGGAGAAAAGTTCTATTGTCATTCCATGATTTAGCCTTTCCTCCTTTAGGTAAAAAAGGCCTAAAGCGATGTGTTTTGGGTAATTTGATATTTCTAAAACATGAATCATATTTGAAATCTTGCAGGCACATTGGCCTTCACTGTGACAGAAGCCCTTGTATCTAGAAACACACAGATTCTCAAACACCATCTCAGGTTTAGTATCAGAATATGTCAGAGGTATAAAATTTACTTTGTGGTTTACAATATCCTGTACGTTCAATGGCAAATTACATCAAGGCAGCAATAATAATCTCTTGCTATTTTGGACATTGGAATTTTACAGAAGGTTCTCAGAATTGCAGGCGCTTGACCTCTGTGATTAATCAGAAAATTGGGAAGCCAGGTTCTGCTGCTGGGGTTCTAAATTTCTTCTCTCTCTAGTTACAGGGGAGGAACATTTCTACCTGGTGCTACCTGCAGGCTTTGCACATGATGCATGCAAGTGAGACAGGAACTTGCCCCCTGCTTAGGGCAAGCTCGTGGTCCCTGTTGGCCTGATCAGCAATGCACTGAAGGCACAGCTTGAAACTGCTGCTCAGTCACACTTTTCAGAAGGAACAGCTGAAGCACATATTTGTCACAGGATCGCAGTACAAAAGACCAGAAGCAAACCT